TCTATCCTTGCATCAATATCTTAATTAGTATCTTAATTAGTGACGTTTTAACGATAAACCTTTATATCTATTATAGGAAGTTTCTCACTTTTTTTGTTCTTTAAATTTGCCTTGAGTATTTTGGTCTTTGTATTTCCATATAAATTTGAGAATCAGTTGTCTATTTCCACAAAAATTCCAACTCAAATCTTGGGGCATTTGTCAGCAACTATGCCCTATTGGGCTCTGAACTCCAACTTTTGTTCCCCTAGCACCATGATTTCTCTACTCCATCAGCAGATATCCTAGGAAAATAATGTCTCCATCTACTGGGGTCACACCTCTGGATGTCTTTCTTCTGTTTAACCTACTCAGTAATTGTTTACTGCCTCATTATTTCTCCAATGCTGCAATGAGATATTTTTATATTTCTATCCACATTTTCTAACTCTCCTCAGCGGGAAGGTTTGTCTAAATTCCCTAGTCCTTCATTTTTAGAAGTTTATGCCTAAGAGTAAGGTCTGCTTTTCTTCTCTCTTCACTTTTTCTCCCCATCATTCCCCTCCACACTCCCTCCCCTCACCCCTTTCTTTCTAGAGGAAAAAAGATGGATAATGCCAGAAGATGGAGAATTTCACCATGGAAACTAAAAACAAGACCCAACGTTAATCCTAGAAATGAAATAAATGATATAAGAATTGAAGAACTATTAGATAGGCTTAAGACACCTAAACAGAGAGAAAAATCAGTGAATTTTAAGATAGGTCGCTAGAAAGTATCCAAACTTGACAGAAAAGATGTGTGAGACAGCATCAAAGAATATAACTAATGTGTAAAGGAAAGGAGGGACAGATAATTGCACAAAATAAGTATCTTAAGAGATAATAGCTGAGAACATTAAAAACTTGAAGAAAGAAATTAATAAATAGATCCAACTTCTCAGTAAACTCCAAGCAGGACATGGTAACTCATTAATTTTATTTTTATATGCATAAATAAATGGAATATATTGAGAGCATTAAGAAGAGCTCCAAAGGGAATTTTTTTCCTATTGCTCTTGTTGTGTAATAATATAGAGAGCTTTAAATTTCAGTCTCAAACTATAGCTGCATCTTTCAGATTTGGCATCTAACAGTGACAGATGGCAATGTTAAAAATAAATAGAACATTCAAGTTGTTTATACTGTAGGCAAAGACATTTTTAAAGTGTGAAACAAGCCTGAGGCTGATAGAATTCACATTATCCTTTACAAAATTTATTAAGAATGTACATTTCCCTATACCAAACTTGCAATGCTGCTCACAAAAGATAAAATATTAGTTTTTGAAGGGGTGCTGTCATTATATGTCATTACTAATTTAGAATTAACAATGCCATACAGGTCTACTAATAGATACAATTTTCTAGAAATATCAATAATTGATTAACTTTCTCAAGTTTTAAAAGCTTCTAGAGATTATCGCAATTCAAAACATGAGAAAGTATTTGATATAGTCTAATATCAATATTAAGCTAATTTTTAAAAACAGTTTACAGTACATCTCTGAGGCAAATTATCAAATATAAGGACTAATAACTAATAAGGTAGGCTAATACAGCGGGAATGTATAAAAATAATGAAGAAATCATAATAAATTTTTATATTAAATTTTAATAACTTCAAAATAGTGACCACAAAAATTCATGATCATCTCAATAGGTTGATAAAAAGTATTTGAAAAAATTCACCATCATTTTATGATAAAATCACTCAACAAACTAAGAATTGAAGGATACTTCCTCAATCCGATAAAAAGCATCCACAAAAACCTACAGCTAACATCTTAGTTAATGGTGAATGACTGGATGCTTCCTCCTAAGTACAGAGACAAGACAAAGACGCCCATTCTTGAAACTTCTATTCAACACTGTATTAGAGATTCTTTCTTTCTAAAGCAACTGGGTAAGAAAAAGAAATTTTAAAAACATCCAGATTGGAAAGGAAGAAGTAAAAATATTTCTATTCACAGATGACATGATCTTGTATATAGAATATCCAAAGGAATCCACTAGAAAAACTACTAGAATAAACATTTCAACAGGATTTCAAGATATAAGATTAATATATAAAAATTAATTGTATTTTTATGCACTTGCAATGAATAAAAAATGAAATTTAAAAAAGTTCCATTTATAATAGCATCAAAAAAATAATAAAAATAAATTTAACGAAAATGCAAAACTTATACTCTGAAAACCACATAACGTTTACCAAAATTAATAAAGTCTAAATATATGGAAAAACATCCCATGTTCATGAATTAGAAGATTTAAGAAATACTGATAAAATGGTAACACTTCCTAAATTGACATACAGATTTAATATAATCTCTATCAGAATCTCAGCTGACTTCTTTGTAAAAATGAAGAAACTGATTCTAAACAAACATGGAGACATGGAATTACGAGGGACCCAAAAAAGTCAAATCGATCCTGAATAAGAATCAAGTAGGACTTGTCGATTGCAAATTTTACTACAAAGCAACAGTAATCAAGACAGGGTGGAACTGGCCTAAGAACAGACATATAGGTCAATGGAATAGAATTGAAAGTCCAGAAATAAATTCAAATGTCTAAGGTCAATTGATTTTCTACGAGGGAGTGAAGACAATTTAATGGGGACGAAATAATCTTTTAAACTTCTTAGAAGAGTATTTAGAAATAAATCTTGACCTTGAGTTAAGCAAAGCCTTCTTAGGTAAGACACCAACAACACAAGACCAAAAAAATAAATAAATAAATTGAACTTCATCAAAAGTACAAACTTCTATGTTTCAATGAACATCATCAAGAAAGGGAAAGATAACCTACAGAATGTGAGAAAATATTTGCAAGACACATTATCTGATAAAGAACTTGTATCTAGAATATATAAAGAACACTTATAACTCAATAAAAAGACAAATAACCCCATTAAAAAATGGGCAAAAAATCTGAATAGACATTTCTCCAAAGATATACAAAGGGTAATATGCACATGAAACAATGCTCGACATTATTAACCACCAGGGAAATGCAAATCAAAACCACAAAGATATATCACTTCATACCCACTAAGATGGTAATGATCAAAACAACAATGACATAGGCATGGAGCAATTGGAACTCGTACATCGCGGTAGCATTGTAAAATGGTGCACCTACTTTATAAAGCACTCTGGCAGTTCCTCAAAAGGTTAAACAGAATTACCATATGATCCAGCAATTCTACTCCTAGATATGTTAGGAGATAAAAACATATCTACTTAAAAACTTGTACACGAATGTTCATTGCAGCATTATTCATAACAGCCAATGGAAACAACCTGAAATGGATGGATAAATAAAATATGCTATATCCACACAATGGAATACTATTGAGCCATAAAAAGGATGAAGTGCTGAAACATGAATGAACCTTAAAAACATTATGCTAAGTGAAAGAAGCCAATCCCAAAAGACCACATATTATAAGATTCCACTGATGTGAAATGTTCAGAATAGGGAACTCTAATAGGGAAAGTAGATTTGTAGCTGTTTGGGACAATGTCTCCTCATGGTTACAGGATTCTTTTTTTAAGTTACTGATGCCATATTAAAAAAGGAAAGAAACCTAGAGTCATCAGAACCACTAATGGACACTTACTGACCAAGTACCCACTGAAGAAGTCTTTGTAATAAATTTACTCTACTAAGGGGGATTTAATTGAGGACAAAAAATGCCTTATAAAAAACTAAGAATCCTGACTTAAGTAGAACTGCAGAGAACACTGTTTTGAAGTATTGTTCTCCACTTAACAATAAAGGTAGTCTGTCTAAAATTTTTAAATTCCTATGAGAAAAAACTGGAACAAGCACTGACTTCTTAACCTTCTATGAAGAAATAAGCTTTGAAAGGAGTTATTATCCTTTACTTTTACCTAAATACTGCTGAAATGTCAATCTAGCTGTGCTGACATCTCTATGGACAACTTTTATATTTATTATCTTCTCTATGATTTTTTAAAAACCTACAAAAGAACAAATTCAATTTTTTTTGTAAATTTTCTCTTAATTCTTCCACAGGATTCATGGAAAATGGCAGAATTAAAATGAATTGGTTAAACAACTGCTCATTTATCAAATACTTTGAGGACAGAGGGGGGAAAGTACTAAATAAGAATAAACTTTGTTTTTCCTAATTCTTACAGAGATCCTAAACCAAGAATATACATTAAGGAAAACAAATAAATTGAGGCCCAGAAAGTTTTTCTTTTTCTTTTATTGTGGGGTGGGGGCGGGGGGGGGGAGAGATAGAGAATGGCAGGGTAGAGCACAGGGAATGTAATACAACTAGGAAAAATAAATTTGATTATTTCCTCTCCCCTCTATAACCTTTTAGTTTTTGTTTTTATTTTCTTTTGAAAACTTTCCATCACATTAAAAAGTTCCAGACTAGATATTCTACAAAATTTGCAAAAATTAAATCACTCAAAAGAAACAAAAATTTCCATTTTCTTGAAACTGTAACATTACTTTACTTATTTGTAAACTACTCCACATATTTTTATAACACTATAAATATACTATATAAGTAATAAGAAATACTGTTTAAAATAGTTTTGATATTCACAGGCACCAATAAAATACACATTCCCTTCATTTATTAATTTTCAGCTAATCATACTAGCTCCATGGCAGTTCTTTAAAATTGCTATTTTTCTTTTATCATTTTATTGATTAATAAGCTATATTCCTACTACATAACTGTAAAAATAATGACAAAGCTTAATGGAACAGTTTTTTAATACTGTTGAAAATTTTGAATGCATGTAAACTTTTGTGAAATAATCAATAGAGAAATAAGAATATATTAAAAATCGAAACCACATAAAATTAAGAATGCATAATATGTCAATAAATACAAAGAAGAGCAAAACAAGCTATGTGCTTATCTGTAAGAGGAAATCTGTATCTTTAAGCAGTTGACAAAATAACCACGCTAATGAAAAAGTGTACTCACCTGGTTTTGGCACTGAGTTGGTCACTGACTGGGGAATTTTCTGATTAATTAACTCAACACAGTGTCCAGGGAAGAGTCCCACCTAAGGGGGGAAAAAAAAAAGCAGCAAAGAGAGGATTCTAAACCAGAGATCAGATCAGTGTGTGAACACTGCCAATTCAATTCCAGTAATGTACTCCACAGTCCTTCCCAAATGATTCTATTATTCCAAGACTCTAAATCACAGACAATGCCAATTACACAAACAAAAAATAAAACAATCTGTTGCTATGAGTATGTAGAGTTATGTGTTTTATTTGTCTAAAATCTAAGTCTGCTTTTTCAGTTTTAGCTTTTAATTTCCCATATGTTTCTAAGCCAATTAAAATATTTAGTCTGATACCAAGCTACGCATGCAAGTTATTAATTTTTACCTCTCAAAAATTTATTCTGCTTAAATGTCAATCAAGTTGTGTTGACATATCTACTGCCAACTTTTATATTTATTATCTTCTCTATTTTTTAAAAATTTACACAGTACCACCCTCAAATTTTTTTGTAAATTTTCTCTTAATTCTCCCACAGGATTCATGAAATGTGACAAAATTAAAAAGAATTGGTTAAATAACCGCTCATTTAAAATCCTGGTTCATACTGTTGTTAAAGAGCTAGTAGTGTTTGGATAAGTGGGAAAACGAGAGTAGAAAAGAGCCGATCTCACCAGTGGTGAGAGAATCTGGCTTTGAAAAACTCTTTGTCCTGGCAGACTCCTAAGAATTCTATGGCATTAGGTTGAATCCTAAGAAGGTCGAATCCTAGGAAAACTGACCACCAGATCACCCAGAAATACTGTACAGTATGACCAGAAGAACGAATACAGAGAGAAACAGCCTGGGAACAAAAGTAAAAAGGAAATCTTTACCAATATTTATAGATGTTTCCTTAGACAGGAATATATTGAGCCGCCATGCAGCAGATGTTAAAGCTGAAACATGAAAACTACATCACATTGTACATCCTTCTGTTGACAGACTCTGGGAAAAAATGAAATGGTCTTCCAAGAGTATGATTCATCGTGAAGTTCTGAGCTGTATAATTTCCAACTGTGTGGGATTATTTTCAACATACTCATTTGCTGCATTATTATTTCAATTTCTGGATCGATACTCTATGGTAGTTCTTAAAATTATAAAGATGTAACTAGTTATCATGAGCTGAAAAGGGGTTATTATCAGTTTTGTTTGAAAGATTTGATTTCGGGATTCTTAAAGTCTCCATATATTGCCTTTCAAAATGATACTTTAAGTATTTGTTTTATTGGTGAAATTCTATACCATATTTTGCTTAACTTCTCTTATTTAACTAGACAAGGAGAAATTCTACCAAGATTGATTAGAACCAGATAAAAATCAACCTGAAAAATACTCGTCCTCTCTTACACGAATCAGTTATTACGAGAGTGTATATGGTATAATGGTTGACAGTGTAGCCACAAGAGTAAAAGTGCCTGGGTTCAACTCTAGGTCGGCTACATACTAGATCAGGTTTGCAACTTGGCTTCTCTATTTCAGTTTATTCATCTAAACATAATAGCTCATAAGGGTTGTTATGAGAATTAAATGGATCAGTACAAGCAAAATACATGTAGTTAGCACTTGCTAAATGTTATCTATTATTATCCCAGTATGTTGTCTACTAGAAGACCTATAGGGCTCCAGCTCCTCCATTAAATAGATATGACAGACACATAACACTTGCCACCTTTTGCATGTTTGTACTTAAGTTTCCTTACTATCAAATATCATTATTTCCATAAAAGTCTAATTCGTGTCTATTTATAAACATTTTTCTGCATTTTGATATGGAGAAAATACCAGAATCTAAACTTGGCCCACCTATTTACCAAAATTTTGTGCTCTGGAACAAATTGCTTAACCTCTGCCTCAGTTTCTTAAATTTGTAAAAATGGGGATAATATTAAATACAACAATAATTGTGTGAAAACACCTAGCCTAGTTTCTAAATTCATTACTTCTTCACAAAGACTGAACAAAGCTTAATAAACTTCTTTGGGAACTATACAATATATATTAGCTATGTTTTCACCTTTTAATTTTGTGTCAATGCATTAGGTTTAAGTATATGGGGTAAAATACTGTACTATGTAGAAGTCTATAGTCATGTACTATGTAGAGATCTATAGTCACTTAACTCCAATCTATGCTCACTTGTCTTCCTTTATTATAAAGCGTAACACTACTAATTATTGGCTAAACTAAATATTTACTTTCCCAGACTCCTTGCATCCAGGTATAGCCATGGCACATGTAAACACAGGTCTACTGAAACTGTTCTGCCTCCTTCTTTCTGCTGTAAATGCAGGCATTAAGTTTGGATCTGTAGGAGCCTCATTTGACCCTGAAAGAAAGGCCAAGAGCATCTTAGAGGCTTCTGTCTAGCTGCAGATTCAACAGTAGCAGTCACGTTTTCTGTTTACTTTTCTGTTTCTTGAACAAAAGAAGTGTCCTAAATGATGAAA